GATCTGGCGGCGCGGGATCGAACCCCGAACATAGAGGTTTATATATTCATGATAAAAATGCGGTAGTGCATTGTTTCCATCTTTCATATTATATATATATATATATATATATATATATATATATATATATGTATGTATATATATGCACATATGTATATATATATATATATATACATACACACTTACATGCATACATACATACATATATGTATATACGTATATATATTATAATATATATATATATATAATATATATATATATATACACATATATACATAACATGTATACTTACATGCATACACACACACACACATATACATATTATATATATATATATATAATATATATATATATATATATATATATATACATACAAATAATTGGTGTGTATATGCATACATACATACATGTATGGTATATATATATATATATATATATATATATATATATATATATATATATATATATATATACACGTATACGGCGGGGGCGCATAGCCGCATCCACCCTTTGCTTGTACCGACAAGGTTCCCTCATGGTAAGCCATCAGGTAGTGACTCGGCCAATCTCAAGCTCCTCACGACAGGTTTGATCGAAACCACGACTTCACACAGGCATCACACAGGCCTTCACCCAGGATTGTCTCGAAGAGAGACAACCTGGTGGGCAGGATCATCCTGAGGGAAGCGATCCAAGTGGCTGTATAGCCTGAGTTGGTGATCACGGATTGTGCAGATAAAAGGTCCTGTGCCAATATCACGGTGCAGCCATTGGTTAGACACATGGTCCCGCCAACAGTACCCCATGATCTGGGGCAAGGACCTATTACAGTAGGCTTCAAGACGTGACTCCAAGGAACAGGATAATGTCCAGGTTTCACTACCATATAGTAAAACTGGTATCATCAGGGTCTTGAAAAAGCGTAGTTTGGTCCTGCACAGGTACCGGCATCTCCAGATACTCTTGTCGAGAGAGTTCATGACCCCTGCTGCCAGGCCAATCTGTCTGCTGACTTCCTGGTCTGACAGCCCAGAGGTATGAACTACGCTACCAAGGTATATAAAGCTCTCTGTGACTTCAATGTCCTTGCTACAAGCACGTACTGACTCAACAGGTTCTAGCAAGTCCCCAAAGTCCTGGATCTTGGTCTTGGTCCAGACCTCTAGACCCAAGGGCTTCGCTTCATTACTGGATGCATCAAGAGCCACCACTAAGGATTCCAAAGACTCAGATAGAATAGCAACATCAGCAAAGTTAAGGTCGGTGATATTGTTCAGAGTTGCTCCACAATGATTTTGAACAGTAGCTCTACCAGGTGTCCAGTCCATGCAAGTGTTGAAAAGTGTTGGTGCAAGGACACTGCCTTACCTCACTCCTGAAAGAAGCTCAACAGGGCCTCACCACATTTTACAGCACTTTCAGTAGCAATACACAGACTTGCTATTAGTCCAATAATCTTTGTTGGAATTCCTCTCAGTCTCACGATCTCCCCAAGAGATTCCCGATGCACCATATCGAACGCATTCTTGAGGTCGATGTAGGCTGCAAGCAGCCCACACCTGAAATCATGATGGCGCTCTACAATGATTCAAATGCAAGGATACAGTCTTTTGTGGATTTACAAGGAGTGAATCCAGATTGCTCCAGCCTCTGATGCCTCAGTAGGTGGTCTGTGATTCACTTCAGAAGGATGTGGACGAGAACCTTATCTAATATACTGCCGTGGTGGTTGCTGCAGTCCCATCGGTTCCGCTTCCCATTTTAGAAAGGGATGACCACACCCGTCAACAGGTCAGGAGGAACGGTACTGGACTGCCAGATGGCAGCCAGGACAAAATGTAACCCCCACTCCATGGGTTCACCACCAGCCTTTAACAGTTCAGCTTTGATGCCGCATATACCTGCTGCTTTACCACTCTTCAGCTTGGAGATTCTCACTGATGGGTGGGTCCGGCAACGGAATCTTGGCACTACCTGCATCCAAGTTAACTGTTGGTGGGTCAACCTGGTACAACTGCTCAAAATACTCAGCCCAACGCTCCCGCACTGCAACAGAATCTGAGACGATCTGGCCACTTACTAAGTGAACTGTTGTCGCCTGTGAAGAGGGATTGGAATTCAACTTTCTTAGGGCTTGGTATTCAAGACTTCTACCTCCTCTACAAGATTCCTAATAAACTGTTCCTTGTCCCTTCTTAACAGTGACCAAGTTCTGTGCACCTGAGAATATTGCAAATCCCGATCCCCTGTCAGACGAACAGCATGACAAGCATCTGTGGCATCCAGGGGTTCCTGTGAGATGAAATCCATGTCTTGCTCTTGGGCGTTTACCAATCGACCCTTGGGCTGCATCAAGCATTTTGCATCTGAAGGTGTGTCACAAAGGTACAGGGTCCGTCAGATTGTCGAGCACTGTGAAACGACCAGAAATTGCCTCAGCAAATCCCCGGGCACATTCCTCCTCCCTTAGCCTGTCCAAGTGAAACACCCTGGAATGATCATTGGACCGCTAGGGAGTCTTGAAATAGACCCGGAGGGTAGTCATAACCAATCTATAGTCAGCACCACAGAACTCGGTACTCCTATACACCCTGCAGTTCTGGAAAATCCTCCGAGTGCTAATGAGTATGTGGTTGATCTCCTTGGCTGCATTACCCACATCACTGTACCGTGTCCAGCGATATGGGTCTAGGTGTTGGTACTAGGAGCCAGAAATTTCTGTGACCTAGTAAAGTCCTGGAAAAGGAGGCTATTCTCGCTGCTGGCATCAGCTCCCGAACCATGAGGACCGACAGACATCTCAGAGCCAGCTCGATCACAGGCAGATACCACATTGAAGGGGGCTATCGCACTCGAGAACGAAGTTTGTCAGTTATGATCGGATATTCGTGACTTTTTTATATATTATACATACATATAAAGTAATAAACACTAAGTTTCATACCATTTGGATGATAAATAGTAAACTTTTGAACAAAATTATCACCAATAGTCTATAGCAATACCTAGAACTTGCAAAGACCGGAGTTTTGAATTTCATTTTAGTAGGAATATATATATTTTTTTATTCTAAATGTTCAGTCTTATGACCATCACAATATAATATATGGGCTACTATTACCTAAAATGAAAATTGTCTCTAAGAAAACCATCGCAAATATATTCAGCTTTTAAATTATCCAAACCTCATTAGAATTGCCTAAGTATTTATGGATATATTTAAAAAATGAGATAACAGGCTCCAAATTTTTGGATTTTTTTTTTTTTTTTTTTTTTTTTTTTTTTTTTTTTTTTAAGAATTCAAATCTCTGCGGTAATCTTGCTGCATTCTATGGCATTCACATGGTATTCTGAAGTGCAGCTGGTATATTGTCCCCTCCTTTTTTGCAAACAACTACGGCAGCTGTGATTAAGAAGTATTTCTCATCATATTACAGTTATTAAATACTAAAATTACATCTACAATTAGTATTGTCCCCTTACTGTGTTATATGGGGCTACTCTCCAATATGGTGTCAAGGAGGTAGGAGCTGGCAACCTTTCTCTCTGATTTTTTAGTGGAGTTTTGTCTCCCAATGCCCCAGTCTTGACGATCAGCTGATGGGTAAACAGAGTTGCCAGCTAGCTACCAGAGAATGGCAAAATAAAGCGAAAAAAAAAAAAAATTGGTCGAGTATATTTTCACGGATAAGACAATGTAAACATCGGACCGGGAGGGGGAGGGGGGCGGTGGCGGTTTTTAGGGGTCAAAGATTTAGTTATAATTCCTTTAATTTTACATATTTAGAAAAAAATATTATGTCACAAGATTGCCAAAGATTTTTTTTTTAAAAATTCGAGTATTTTTGAAAATTTTCGTCGCGACGGCCCCCTGAAGTCACCCAGAACAACACAAATATCTTGCTGGGGACACGTGTCTGACACAGATGCTAGTTTGGTGTAGAACATCTCTTTCACATCAAGTTTACAAGCATCGGTAGGAGTTTAGGCAGCAATAAGAGATATGAAGCTAAATGCTAGTTTTAGTCTCATTACCATTCTATGCTCACTAACTGGAGTAACCTCTACTACCGAGGGCTGGAGTCTGCTGGAGATGGCCATGGCTATTCCCTGGAGATGGTGACCGTCGCTGCGGCCCGATCGGTGATAGGTGTAGCCACCTACACTGATTGTACTGCTGCCAGGTCTTCTCACCTCTGAGAGAGCAGCCACCTCCAATCTTAGCCTCCACAGTTCCCTCGACTGCAGGGGCAACTGATCATCCTGATACAAAGAACGGATTTTCCAAGCCCCCACCCTGGCTTCCTGCGTAGGTGGACGCCACCTTTAACAACCCCCCCACTGACGCATCACCCACCCACTGGGTTCCCTAAGGCTTTCCCCCGTAAGCTTCACTTTGGGCTAGTGACTGCCAGAACGCAGGTGGGACGAGTAGTTCTCGTTCCCGTTCTGCGTCCTGGCAGTCGCCCTCCCAACGGGGCCCACAGCCCGCCTCTCTTGCTGGGTGGGAGGAGCATTTCCCCTCCTCCCAGCATTCCCAAATATATCTAGCACTGCTGAGTGTTTTATACACACACACACACACACACACACATATATATATATTATATACATATATATATATATATGTATATATATATATATATATATATATATATATATATATATATATTACACACACACACACACACACACACACACACACACACACACACACATATATATTATTATATATATATATATATATATATATATATATATAGACACACACACACACACACACACACGCACACACACACACGCATATATGCATATTATGTATTCTTTTTCTTATGCATATGAGTGCGTGTACTCGTAATTGAAAGAATGCACACATTCGTAAAGCTTCTTCAAAGGTGTATGTATATACAGTGCCTTTTACGAGCATCAAAACATCAATGGAAGATTAGTCCTCGCCAACAAAAGGGTATTTAGGAAAGTGTAGGTTTAAAAAACAACTGTTTCACAAGGTTTACAGTTTATTATGCAAATGTGTTCAAAATGCAAACACTGTGAAACACGGATCCCTAGCAGCCAACACAAAGTCCAGAGACAACGCCAGAATGGCATTTTGTACCAAAAATATTTCCTTTTTATGTAAATATTTATGTATTTGGCTATTGTAAATGCATTGTTAAAATTTAAAGGAAAATGTAGTTTAAAAAATACAATACCAATGCAGCATAAAAGCTGATTGTTACCCACACCATGCACCATTCATAGACTTGAAAACACGAAATTTGTTCATTTCATATACTGATAATACAGTATATGTTTACGATAACATTCTCGTTCTATTCCAGTGCTTACTGAGTTATATCTGTACATGCAAATTTATCTGTAATTGGTCATAATGAATCCTTGGAATTTAGAAGAAATGGCCAAAACAGCAGAGAAAATGAGATACATATAGATACATACAAAGGACATGGGAATATGAACTCATGCCTCGTAGGCAGAGGCGTATCTGGGACAGACGGCGCGAAGGCCAATTAATTCTGTGAAAGTCCTGGACGTTAATGCCTGGAGACATGGTCAGGCAAGTTCTCGAAAAGACATCTTTGCTTGATAGATTATATCGGGGAAATGAATACATGGTGAATGACAATTTTCTAACCACAAAGGTGGCGATCTTGACTTGACACCAGGGCACTTCAGCAGCCGTCTCTCCCTAGCTACGCGACCATCTTCCCAGCGTGAATATTTGAAATTCAGTGCATACACTGGGATCCCATTGCAACGGACTGATCGTTTTTAGTTATGTTTCCTAAAATCACACTACACTCCACTGTTGGCCAGAAGGAGAAAGTGCGGTTTGTACATATATAAAGGACTGGGTTTGTTCTGTTGTCTCTGGCCGATGTCTCGATTGTAGAGGGAGCACGCACACCAGAACAAAACACTCAGACTTAAAGGTTCATGGCATGTCATAAACCGCTTCAGGCGAACATGCTTGCTTAACATTTTCCTTGCTGTTAACTTCCACATACATAAATCTAATGCAGGATATTCGACCACTCCGTGCGCCTCTCAGCACCCGGTGGCCCCGGCGTTCGCGCGCTACTTTATCACAGCAAAGGGGAAAGTCACACAAATCGAAGGCAGGCGAAGGAAGCCGAAGCCTCTCAGCTTCCTGGGTCACATCTTGTAAGCTCACGATTGCAGGAACTACTTGGACACTGCATAACGAAACGTTTGCAGCTTTCATTTTAACGTTTTGGGCTTTAAAAAATAAATCATAATTGGGTCACCCTTCATGTACTGATTACTGGTCTTTGTTTAGGACTTTTGTGTTGCTACATATTGCAAATGCATTTGGTCCTCCTTGCTGTTTCTTTTTGCCCCAAAGATAGTTTTCCTTAAAGTAATATCTTGCCCTCTTGTTGTCATTACAACTAAAATGTGACAACCGATACCAGCAGCA